CTCAAATGAGGTCCGCTGCTTGGGACCCCAAGTAAAAGCAACGCCCTTCCGGGTCAATCTGGTAAGAGGAACGAAAATCTTGGAGAAGTCCTTGATAAATCTCCGATAGTAGCCGGCCAACCCCAGAACACTCCTGATCTCGGTGGGGGATCTCGGCACCTCCCAACACGTAACAGCCTCAATCTTGACCGGATCGACCAATATCCCACTCTAATTAACGAGGTGCCCCAAGAACTGCACCTCTCGTAACCAGAAATCGCACTCGGATAATTTGGCATAAAGCCTCTCCGATCTCAATACTCCAAGGATCTCTCTCAGATGCTCCTCATGCTACTCTCTAGACCTCGAATACATTAGATTTTCGTCAATGAACACTCTCACCGATCGATCCAACATCATCCTGCATACTCGGTTCATGAGATCCATGAACGTTGTTGGTGCATTGGTGATCCCAAAAGGCATCACTACGAAATCGTAATACCCATAACGAGTCCTGAACACTGTCTTCTGGATATCCTCATCATGCACCCTGATCTGGTGATATCCAGACCTGATGTCTATATTGGAGAACCAAGACGCCCCCTACAACTGATCGAACAGATCATCTATCCTCGGTAGTGGATAACGGTTCTTGACCGTCAACTTGTTCAACTCCCAGGAATCAATGCACATCTGGTGCGAACCATCCTTTTTCTTGACAAAACAGATATGCGCTCCCCACGGTGAGCTACTCGGTCGAATGAATCCCTTCCCAAGTAGCTCCTGAAGCTACGAGGATAACTCCTACATCTCTAAGGGCGCAAGGCGATAGGGTGCCTTGGCAATAGGTGCTACTCCCAAAAACAAATCAATACGAAATTCCACCTGCCTCTCTGGAGGCACACCCGACAACTCCTCGGGGAAAACATTCGGAAACTCGCACACTATGGGAACCTCATTGACAGAACTCGGCCTCTTAGCGGCAACTCGTGTATCCATCACATAGGCTACAAACCCTCTACAGCCCTGCTGTAGACTCTGTCTTGCTCTAGCAGCTAAGCAAAATGTTGACCCAGATTGGGTACCATCGCCATACACTTAAAGTACTCCCCCACTAGGGTCTCGTATGGTCACCAACTGATGCTCGCAGTTGATAACAACTCCAAACCGGCTCAACCAGTCCATGCCCATGATGACACCAACATTCCCCATCGTAATCGGTACCAAATCTACCGGGAACTAAACACCAAAAATCTCGAGTACAAATCCTCGAATCACATCCGTAGCATACACCGCTCACTCTTCGGCTATAGAAACTCGTAGAGGTCGACTCAACACCTCTCGCCGGATACAGATGTGCTGACTAAATGCTAATGATACGAAAGATCCACTCGCACCCGAGTCAAATAACACTAAACAGGTACAAAATTCACAAGAAAACTACCTAGGCATACCACAATATAAGCACAATATCTCAAACTTAGTAATAGAAAATAAAAGAATACATAATATCCACGACATCAGTCATTGTACGGACCTCTTCAGCTGTCAACTAGAAGGCTCTCCCGCGAGCCTTCGGTGCCTCAGCCTTCTCTAGCCGGACCTTGGCAGCTCTAGTAACAGGTGCAGATCCCTGTGCTGACCCTTGAAGTAGGTATGGGCACTCGGCCTTCAGATGGTCAGCCTGGTTGCAGTGAAAACAAACTGCAAACCCCTTGGGGAAATCCTTCACGAAATTCCCCTCCTTGCCACACTTGTAGCACACCCCTGCTCTGCATACTCCCTCATGGCTCTTAACATACTTCCCACAAGTGCGGCCCTTCTGAACCCTAGATCTCAAATCAACGGGCTTTTCCCGCTTGGCTGCCGGCTACGGCTCCACCGGTCGCCTGTCCCTCTTCTGAGACTCAGCCTCCTCCCTGGCCTGAGTCTCTAGCTCAATCTCCCTCTTCTAGGTATTTTCCTGGATCTCGGAAAATGTCCGGTATATCGATTTGTCCACGAACTCATGAATGCCACTCCTCAATATGCTCAGATATCGACTCATGCGTGCCTGCTCAGTAGACACATGCTCAGGGGAAAACAACGCCCTCTCATGAAACATCCATTTAGTCACAGTCACAGACTTCCTCCCTTGCTTGAGGGATAAGAGCTCCTGCACCAAGCGTTCTCTCTCCACTGGAGGGACATACTCATCTCGGAACTTGTTTGTGAACCTCTCCCAGGACACCACTGTAATATCTATAGAAGTGAAATCAGCCATCACAAATTTCCACCAGTCCTTCGCTCCCAAGCGTAGTTGGTTCAAAGCGAACCGTACCCTCATATGCTCCAGACAAGAGCAAGTGTAGAAGCATCCATCAATGTCATAGATCCACCTTATCGCAGCTATCAGACCCTGAGTCCTATCAAACTCTGGTTACTTCGTGTTGCTGAACTCTCGGTACAACAACAAGTCACCCCCCTGTGGCCTCACGGCAGCGATAGATGCAGTGGCTATCGTAGCGATTGTCTTAGTAACAACAACATATCTCTCATAAAACGTCTCTATCAGGGTGGTCTTGATAGATGCAAACATTTCTAGAATGGCCTCCCGGATCGCCACGACCACCTCATCATGAATCATCCGGCGATTCTCCTTGTCGCTAACGCCACTGCCCCCTGGTGTGTGGCGTGTCCCAACCATGATGTCTCTGAAACACAACATAAAAGAAATCAGAGACTCACTCGAGTATACTCGCAGTCGATACTCAATCCTACTTGTTCCTTAGTACCTTAAGGATTCTTACTTGAACTGCTCACCGATCCGGTGCTTCTAGTAGTACGGGCCCTATACTACATTTCACAGTGCGTCGGTATTCACCCCATGTCCTCCTCATAGGATCCCATGTTACAAGTACTCTATATCTCGCTAAACACATGCTACCCTCCAGTAGACCACTCATAGGCTCCTCGCTTCTACCTACTTACTCTTGAAGTATCTCATAGTAGCAATAATCTCCTAGGCTAAGGCATCACAAATTAGGCAACTTTAGTCCTAGATATGAATACCTATCCTGCACTAGCATGCATAGCATATCACATAATATCTCATAACACATAATGTAAGGGTATTTTCGGAAATCACCTTTCGGGCGCTGACTGATCATACACACGGCTCCGTTGTGTTTATCTTAAAATCCTATACTCTTTTAGAAAAATTGTTCATTTGATGAAGATAAATTCTCTTAAATCCTCAGTTTGAGTTCAAATATGCCCGAAGGTGCATCCGAATCCCTTAAACCTAGGCTCTGATCCCAACTTGTAATGACGTAATTTTTCAAAACAATTTTTCATTTTTCATCACAATAAAACTCATATAATACTCTCAAATCTCATGTTATCAATGTCATCACAAATAAACATATCCCAGAATCTCAAAAACATAATCTTCTACCAGTGTGTACAAATCATGCGACGCCTTCCCGCAATCCTCGCTAGTACTTGAAACATATATCACATAACACGGAAAGTATAAATGCTTAGTGAGTTCCCTAGAATACCACATAAAACACATAAGCCACTCTAGGCTATAATTTAGATGACCCTCCGGTCAATTTGTCTCAGAGGGATCGTCTAGTCCCCTAGCTTGTTGGACCCACCGGTCCGATCTCCGGTCCGGTCTAAATCGTTGGACCCTTTGGTATGGTCTAAATCGTTTGACCCTCCGGTCCGATCTATATAACACATAACATACATATAAGACAATGAACATAAATCTCAAACATACATATACATATAAGACCCTTCGGCCTGCACATAGATACCACTCTAGGTAATCTATAGTGAGAAGACTCACCTCGGGTAATCTCGGAAAGTCTCGAACTCGAAGTACTAGTCTAGCCTCCGCTTAATCACGTAAAATAATTCACCTCTAATTAACGATGATTCTCAAAGGCTAGTATAATCCATTCGTATAGTCTCTCAGAAGGGGAAAAGACCATTTTACCCCTCTAGTGGTCCGAATGTCCAATTGTTGACCTAACCCTAAAATTTAATGAAAGTCAACTCCAGTCAACGGTCCCCCTTTGACCAGACTCTTTGAGTGCACTCGAGTGACTCAGCGAGTCGATGTGTGTTCTCTGAATCTTCCTAAGGCCTCACTCGACTCGTCGAGTTTACCTTTTACTCGATGGGTTACCATTGATCATGAATTACGGAGCAACACAATCCGACTCGTCGAGTCCTCTCATGGACTCGACGAGTTTCCTCCATGAAAATGCTTAAATGACCTTCTGAGGTCAGATCTGTTTCTCTAACTTATAGATATTACCTTCTAACACTTAAAAGTCATGTAAAGGTCCCATCTTTACGTTCATGCATTGCACATATAGCTCTATTTGATGAAATAACTCTTAAACTGGTAACCTAAACTCAAAACTCTCATGGGACTCCATAAAGCTGGATGGTTGGGGCTCACTGGACCTCTCAAGGTCCAGATCTAATGTCTATTCCTCGCAGAGACTCCATATGCTTAAAATCCCAACTAAAGAAGGGGTAAAAAAACCCTATCTTCACGAGATCTACTTTATACACGAAAATAGGCATGGATTCATACCTTAAACAACAACCTTTGATGATGTGATAGAAGATCTGAGCTCTTCAATCAGCATAGCTTGAATCCCCCTCCTTCTTCCTTGCAAGAATGCTCTAAGGTGAAGAAATTAGCTCTCTCTCTCTCTCTCTCTCTCTCTCTCTCTCTTTGCTCTCTAGTTTGAATGGTGTCTCTCAAGGGTAAGAGTGGCCGCAAATGAAGGCCATAAGAACCCTTAAATAGGGCACAAGCCTAAAGATTTAGGGTTTCTGCATATTGCGCGGCCATGTCGAGTCAAATCACTGACTCGTCGAGTCCCTTCATTAATCCGAGTCATCTGTCGCGATCCTACTCGATGAGTTTAGGCGCGAACTCGTCAAGTCCCTTTTCTTATCTCAAAAGCGAATACATAAATTATGATACCGGTAAATCAGGATGTTACACCAACCTACTCGATGAGTTTAGGCGGGGCATTGGTTGGTAACAAACTTGAAATAAGAGATAAAGTGGCTAATTGTTTGTGAAGGATTGCTTCGAATTGAGTGAACTTTTGGGATAAAAAATCGGGAGTGATTAACGAAGAATAAATGGACTTCATGAGAAACCCCTTCAACTCATTTAACTGAGAGGTAATCTTAGTTAAATTATTCGATTCTTGAGTTGACAACTTAGAAAGCCGAGGACTCATGGCTTCATTTAATTTCACAAAATTTGTCTCAACATTAGCAATTATGTCCACTTGCTGATTTAAAGAAACATAATCCTTTTGCATCATTTCAATCTCCTTAGTCATATCCTCACGAAGTTCCTAAAGCTTGAGATTAACATCTTCTTTGACCTTCTTCACATCAAGAACAAACAACGTATGTCTTTCTTTTGCAACCTGATTCAAGTCTTTGACTACCCCTACAAATTTCGAATGTAGAGAGTTCACCCGTAACTCAAAATTTTGATCTGTATGATCCACCTTCTCTAAGATTCTAAACTCTGAATCTTTAATCATGCCAGACACTTTACTAACCATCCTGGCTTCAAACACTTTCAGCAAACCATCAATCTCCAAACTTGAAACAACACTACTTCCCCCCATATCCTCTTGAGACTTAATAATAGAATTCAAATTTTTATTCAAAATTTTAAATTGCTTCATCGACATAAGCATGTGGTAAGGAAAGTTGTCTTCTTCCTCGTCAAATTCTAAATCTTTGAAAGTACCACCAAATCTTGTATCTTTATTTTCAGATTCTTCTATAGGTGTGGGTGGCTTATCCGATTGTGGTGGATCAGTAGATTGGGAAGAGAACAAGCTAATGAACGGTTGATTAGGGATTTGAGTAAAAGTGGGTGATGAAGTGACACATAGATTGGGTATGATATATGGAGGTAGAGAAACAAGAGGAATAGTGACATTTTCGATATGAAGAATAACAAGAGTACCTTGAGTACATTTTGGTGCTTTTTTATTCAAATCTCCTTCACCCATAGTGACATTTACATCCGTATCAGATAAGTATGTAGTGATGTATGAAGTTCATGTCTCCTCATGTAATGACTTGGCAGGCGAAACGTCGGGTGGTATGACAGTAGTCTTCTCAGGAGATGAAGTTTTTGTGATAAGAGTTTCTTCGGGAGTTTCAAGAATAACTTCGTCGTCTTCAGTAGATTCTTCTTGAATAACCAACTTTTGTGTTTTTGTCTTTGTCTTCATGGATATACGCTTAGCCATATTTTCAACTCTTCGTTTCTTTGATAAAGGAGAAATAGGAACTGGAACTTCACAAACAATAACTCCCTGATGAGTAATGTGGTGTTTTCTAACCACATATGAGGTTGGAGATTTTCGTAAACCTCCAGACTGTTTCGTAAGTCTTCAAAATACACTAGTTTTTGATGGAATAGTGACCTTAACTGGTTCATCAGTAAGAGGCTCTATTGACTCGATCACAACAGTCGAAATCTGTGCTTCTAGTTTTGTCTGTTTCGTTGGTGACTTTGTTTTCTTTGACTCCTGAACAGGTTTCTCAGGAGTAGCCTATGCATCCTTCTTATAACATCATGATTTCTTTGAAGGACCAGCATCTGCACTTGCCAATAACTTCCCAGTTTCAATGCTAGGATCAATAGTCTTCGAATATGCCACTAATACAAAATTGGTTGGATCAACACGCTTTAACATTGCATAAGGAATTTGTGCAATGCTTGGAAATGCCTCTCATCATCCTTAACTTTTTTTGGAAAGTTATATTTTATGAATTCAGCCTGTTGTTCATCAGCAAGCATCTCAATCCCTTCTTTATCATAAAAATAACGAAGGATCATACTCCAATACCTCGCACATGAAATCCCTTGAACAACATTCGTGTTTTCAACCCTCTTTTGAAACTCCTTCCAAATTTGTGTAGAGTAATCCACCGGAATATCATAGTACAGTCTGGCAACCATGGCATACACCTCCATTCTCCCCTTATCTAGTCCAACACTACGACCTGACAAACATCGTAGAAAAATATGGAAGAGAAAATTCCAAATGGTTGGAAGACCTGATTTCTTGAAGTCACTAATCTTGGTGAGTTGGGGTTGATGACCCATCTCATTAAAGATATGGATAACTTGTGCAAAAGATAGATCAGTGTATGGTGGAGCATTTGGAATATCAAGAATCTGACAAAAAAAGCTTCTTGGACAAACGAACCTTCTTGTCCTTCACTAGATTGAATGTGATTACATCAAGGGATTTAGTGTATGTTGCAGTAGATCCTGCTTGTTAAAACCAAGAAAGAGGAATATCAACCGAACTGAACATGGCCCTAGATAACACATGACTCTTCAAGGAAACGACTTGCATATGTAATTCTTCTGGATAAAGAGATTCATCCTCCTCAACCTGATAATTTGTGCTTTGAATCTTCATGATCGGATGAGAAGTAACCTCTTCAATAGTTTGTGATAAACACTAACATCAGCAGGAGTAGTCATGATTAGGGTTTTGAAAGCTTTGAAGAATACTCAGACAAATCTTTAACAATTTGGGAATTTCTTTTCAATGTGTAAACTAATAAAGAACCCTTGAATCTCCTTTCATATGTAACCCTGGAATTAGAATTTGAAGCGAGATATGCATTAAATGAAATCCGAAGTGGCACCATGAAAATCGCACCACTATTCCAATAAAGTAGCCATGCGTGAAAAATTAACTGTCACTTTTCCTTGAAAACCGGAAAGACTACAAGAAGTCACATTCAACAGCCTGTATTGAGTCACCCAATGGAATTGAAACTGTCAGCAACCTTCAGATAGAAGTAAGGCTCTTTCACTTTTGGGATGAAAAGCGAAGTCATGTGCCAGACGTTTGAAAACATCAACCTAAGTTGGTAATACTCAGAACCTCAAGGATTTCGTGAGTGCAGTGTGCCAATGAAAGAAGATAAGAATCAATTAAAAAAACTTTGAATTTGTGATGTCAAAAATAATTTTGACACGAAAGCAGTTAAACCCCAAGCCAAGGTTACTTCATTAATTATCAAGAGAGATAACCAACTGCTTTTGTGTTTTTCCTGTGAATTACAATCGAAAATTATAGAGAAGTTTCGAAGGGATTCTTTTCCAAGGCTTCATGGGTGGTTTACAAATTTCGTTACATATCGACCTAAACATAAGGTGAGTAATTGTAACAGAAATTACCTGTTTAACCAGTGTAGTCAGTGACAAGTATGCTTTGGAAAAATATTTTAAGTGACTTAGAAAGCAAATGAAACTCACACAAAAATCATATTCATGAAAAAAATATTTGTGTTGGATCCTGTTAGGTAATAAACATCGTGGGTTTCGATAGTTTGATCAAGATCACTCATAAGAAATGAATATGATTTGGAGTTTCGAATCTAGGTACAGAAGAAAATGTTTCGTAAAAATCTGGAACAAAGTTCCCCGTCAATTCCTTAATAAGGTTAGAATTTTGGGTTTCACTTTCATCACGACCAGATGATGTCAGATCACGAACACAGAGTTTAGATATGTCTAAGTCTTCGATGGGTTTGATCAAAGACCTCTTGGACATATGTCTTCGTATGTGATTGTGTAAGAAACTTTAGATGAAAATGATTGGTTTAAAAAACAAAATGTACCTCTCTTATTTTTGGACAAAACAGTAAACTCTTAACTCTTGTGAGAAGAGTTAGGTAGCTCATGAGACTAATTTGAATACAAGCCTGATTGGGAAGAAATTTTCATAAGAAAACTTTCATTAAGTCTTTCATTAAATACACATTCAGTCATTGGAGGCTTCGGTTAACTTGTTGCAACATGCTTCTAGGGACACCTTAACTAGTACATAGGTTTTGAAATATTTACTTGACCCTAAAACTGCAAGCATCAACCAGTAAGATTCATCGTTGACATCTGAAATGAAACACTAAAATAGAACAAAACAAAACAAAATATTTTTATGGTTTTTGTATTTTTCGAAAAGAAATGAAAAAACAAATCAAAAATCTATTTGGTATTTTTTTCGATTTTTTGAAAGTAAGACAAATAACAAAAGAGAATCTTTTTGATATTTTTGATTTTTCGAAGAAAAAAATCAACAAACGAAAATATTTAGCTGTTTTTCAATTTTTCAAAAATAAAGACACACTAACAAAAATATTAAGTATGTACCAGACAAACGAAATTTTAGCTCCTTTTTACGAAAACGAAGCGTGTCGAAGCGTTGACAATGAACAATAACCTTTGACTTTTACAACTGTCCAATTTTCGCTATTCTTTCGAAACAGACTGCCCTTCGTCCATTCCAAGTCCTAAAATTCTCACAAATGATTTTTCATCTAATGGTTTTGTAAAAATATCAGCCAATTGATCAGAAGTTTTCACGAAATGCACTTCGATATTACCATCCTCCACATGATCTTTTATGAAATGTTAATGAAGAGCAATATGCTTGGTCTTCGAATGTTGCACAATATTATGACAAATAAGAATTTCAATTTGAGAATCACAATATAACATATTTTTCTTTATATTTATTACATAATCACACTATTGACTCCGAATCTAAATTATATGTGATGTGCAAACTGCATCAACAACATATTCTGCTTCTGCAGTGGAAATCGAAACACAAGTTTGCTTCTTCGATTGCCAGCTCAGCAATTTCCCATCAAGTAATTGACATCCTCCACTCGTGATTTTTTGATCCAACTTGCAACCTCCCAAATCCGCATCTGGGAACACTACAAGAAAAAGTTGAAATAACTATGAAAATTTTATACGAAAGTAAAATCCGTAGTTACTCTACTATGGAATGGCTTGTTGTAGCTATTTTGCTATGGAACTTGGTACAGAAGTACATTCTGTAGGTAATATTTGAATAACTACGGAATTTTGCTACATAATTAGAAACCATAGCTATTCTACTATGGAATAGATTACAAACTAGTTAGACGTAGGTATATTTGCTACGGAATTAACTACAAAATTGCATTCTATAGCTAATATTTGAATAACTACAGAATTTTGCTACACAATCAGAGTCTGTAGTTATCATGCTATGAAATCTGCTACATAATTATAAGGCGTAGGTATTTTGCTACAACTGTTGCTACAGATTAATGTTTGTAGTTACTTTGCTATATAAATTGTCACGGATTCAAAATCTGTAGCTATTTTGCTACAAAATTTGCCACCGCGTCTAAGTTTGTAGCTAGCTTGCTATGACATTTGTTAAGGAGTCAAAATCCGTAGCTATGTCGCTACAGAATTTGCTACAAGATCATAGGTCATAGCTATCTTTACTATAATATGAAAACCATAAATATTATACAATAGAATTTTCCAGTATGCAACTTTAAGTCACCTTGGCTTATTTTTATAGAAAATGTATTTAAATGGAAGTAAACTTGTAATGCTTTATTTTTTTATGATAACTGTTTCTGAAATCGAATGTTAGTTAAATTAATAACTATATAATTAAGGAGTATAATTTTAAGGAATTTTTTCGGTGATAAAAACGAATAAAAAAGATCTGTTAAATATTAAGTGGCTAAATAATAAATAAACAAAATAATAATAATAATAATAATAATAATAATAATAATAATAATAATAATAAGAATAATAATAATAATAATAACAGTTAAGATGAAATAACATCCATGAATCAATAATGGAAGATAATGAAGAATTAGGTCTAAAAGTGTCACAGTTGAAAACTTTCTGTGAAAATAAACTTATTTTGAGGGTATTTTCCGTCATTATGGGAAAAATCAGGGTCTAAATTAAAAAATAAACTTCTACCTTTAAACGAAATCTTCACCACCACCACCACCACCAAGTTGGTGGAAGTCACTGCCAGCCACCACTACCACTATGGCAGTGGGTAGTGATGCTCCAAGGTGTTTTGAGGGCTAACTGGTGACTTGGGTTTTTTTGGTCCCAAACCTTAAACCCTAGTTGGTATTCTTCCCATGAGGGCATTGTAATTATTTT